GCCAGGTGCGATGACGAATATCGTATGGGTTCCCCCACAAGACATGTCAGTTCAAGTGAGGATGGTTCTCTCACCGTGTGATATTCCTTTGGTAAAGAGCGGAGGTAGTTAGCTGGGCGCATCGAAGAAACTCCAATGTATGCGGGAAAGGGGAAGTGATCCCACAGTGTGTCATGAGCCGGTGATTTCAAGAAAAATATAGTAATCAGAATGTATCCTGCTGGGAAAGTTCCTGAAATTGCAGGTCACTGATAACTTGTTGAAAATCAGGTGTCCCCAGAATAGGGGTTAACTGACTGGGATGTTTGCGAAAGGTTGGTAGTTCGAAAGATGGATCTGATAGTCTTAATTGTGGCCCCAGTAAGGGGATGTTGTTGTGCCTCTGCTGCCATGGCATTATTTGGAAGCCATGGGAAACTTGCTAAGGGGAGGTCAATAGTCACTTGTTGCAAGTGTACACATGGGTTTTTGTCTCGTGTTGTACACCAGTGTATCATTCAGGCTAAATGGGTAGCTTCTTGGTATTTTATTGGGTCTGGAAAGCCAATTCCACCCCTTGCTTTGGGCAGGGCTAGGATTGATCTATGCACCCTTACAGGTTTGCCCGTCCAGATGAATTTCAGATATCTGGAGCACAGGTCATGCAAGAACCCACTAGGGAGCCTAATCGGTAAGGCTTGTAGTAAGTAAAGATGCCATGGCATCACATTCATTTTAATATTAGTGCATCCAAAATATGTGAACATTTTCTTTATCCCAGTGGTGTAGGTCAAGTTTAAATGCACGAGCAAGTGGGGAGAAATTAAGTTCAAAACTTTTCACAAGGTTCTGAGAACGTTCGTTCCCACATAACAGATATGAAGTCTGTCCCCTTGCAGTTAAACTTGGACTCTAGCTACCATTGTGCTGCCTGGTCAAGGCCTGTGACGTCAGAGGGAGGCTCCGCCCAATACATTTCATCATCAAAAGACATCCTCTAGGGGCTACGGCTCTGTCTTTTGATGATGAAATGCGTTGGGAGGAGCCTCCCTCTGACATTATCGGGCAGTCGATCATCTTGGCAATGGTCTATTTGAATGCTTTTAACTGTTCTTCAGCTTGTAAGTAGGATTTTACTTGCGCAAATAAAGAAGTTTTTGATACGTACTGCACTATGAGAGCCATGTTTTTTCTTTCATGATCTCATTTGACACTGCATTTCGAGTTCACATTTGAGTTGGAGGTTTGCAAGATCCTTGTTCCAGGCATGACACGGAGAGCCTGCTAGTGCTCTATATCACAATGCTGATTGGGACCCCCTATAATTAAAGGGTCTCCATTTCTGGTAAGCCTCCATTTAACCTCCCTGGAGGTAATCCTGAGCGCAGCACCACAAGTTTCAGCACCACAAGAATACCTTACAACGTTGCTCCGGGATCCCTTCTTCACTTACCTTGTCCCTTGCTCCACCGATGTCCCCCCTGCAGCGTCCCTGGCAATGTTCTCCAGCCGATGCCAGCATCTGTCTTTTGGGTTCCGTTCCCTGCAACGTCAGGACGTACGGGGACGGAACAGCGGGAAATTAAAAAATTTGAAAAAGTGAAATTAACTAAATACACTAAAATCACATAGTAAAACATTACTGTATCAAACCATTTCACATACATTTTGTCCCTACTGCTTTGTCCTGTGCCCTGCCTGCATTTTTACCGTTCTTTCTGCCTGGAAACTGAGAAATGTCCATGGCGTCCAAAAAGCGTCCCTTTAGGTCAAAAGCGGTTTTAGACCAGCTAGGAAACAGCGATAGTAAATTAGAACTACTTGCACAATTGAGTGATAATGATTCGTGGGGAAATTCGTCATCAGACACTGAAAACGATTTTGCGACTTTGCTCAGTGATGTGCGAACTTGGCGCTTTATTTAAAATTTCAGTGTTTTTGGTTTGATTATATTATTGAATTAAATTTATTATTATTCTATTATTATTTTTTATGATTATTTATTAAAATATAATTTATGATTTCGTGTTTCAAATTTTATCATACCCGGGATGTTTACTAGACTCTTGTTCAGACAGATTTCAGTGAGTTATTCCTAAAAATTACAGGCCTACAATAAAAAAAATACATATTTCCATGCAAAAGAATTTACCGCTTTGAGCACAGAAATACTGACATAATCAGACCGCTAGGGAGGTTAATTATTTAGTGGTGGTACACACTCTGGTGACCATCTGAAGGAAGATTATTCACATTGCACCTACAGCATCGATTTACAGTATTATCAGGGATTGTGGAGTCTTAATCTTTATATGGACTTTAATATATGTCTATATGGACAATAAGTTATTGTTTTGCTGTTTTGACCCTATTTCACAGTTCTTTATGTACACTTGTGATTAGTGTAATTTGCACAGTATTGTTTGATCAATTTTTTATTTATTTTGATTGCCTTTCAGAGGTATGAGGGTCTTCATAGTGCATATGTATGTTGCATGCAATCTAATGGTTCACATAGTGCAGTATCTATTCCCATTAATATTTTCTACTGTTTTTATAATTATTTATTTGAATGGGGGGGAGGGGGTTGCAAATACCTGGTCTTGCCTACGGTGCAAAATAGTCTAGCACCGACCCTGAGCATGTCTTCCATAGCTTGTATACGGTCCATGGAGTCAGTACACTGAGTCTCAAGGGATTGAATGTGGTGATCTGCCTCAGTTGTCTGCACCCTCACTACCTCAATTTCTTCTTGCAGTGTACCAGTGAGCTGTCCAGTAATCTGCTGCATGTGGCCTTGGTAGGGAGTGCCTGAAGGAGCTGGCGGATATCGGACTCCTCTGGTGGAGCCATGCTACTGCAAGTGGGAGACAGCTGAAGTGGGGTTGGAGAATCTGCCTATGGTATTAACGGCGAGGCTGTTGGAGAGTCCGGACCCCCAGTGTGCTGTAAGCCTAGAGCTGCAGTGGCCGGGTCAGGTTGTGCATTGAGGCTGCCCGTGGATTGGGATTAAGCTGGTGGCGGCCTCGATGGCACCATTTTGGAATTCACGGGCACGAGTGTGGCTTCCCACACAGAAATGTACCTGGTGATGTACAGGTTTTATGGAGTGTTCAGTGCTCCGGGGCCTTTCTTTTCAGCATGGGCTTTTGAAGCTGTTAGGTACAATGGATTGCTGTATATACCCCCTCAAGGTCTCAGGGCTCAGGTGTCTTCACACCGCCATGGTTAAGCCACACACCCCTAAATAAACCTTTTCCAAAGTTTGAGCTCTCAGGCATTTACAGTGTTATGGATTTTTCTGGCTGAGACACTGAAATAGAATTAAATATGCAATTGCAGAAAACAGATAACACAGAAAGAGACTTGACAACCGATTCTGCCAAAGCATCTGTTCTAAAGTTTATTTGTTGCACCTTATTTTTTACCCTAGATAAGAAAGGGGTAGTGTGAGATGTTATTAAAAAACAGCAAATAAAAGAATGTCATATTTTATATGTCAGCAGCTATCTGTAAAAGTTGCAAGATTAAATATTTGAGAAGGGAAAGAGAGAGCACAATCTAGCATAAAGTTCAGTCTATATACAAAATGGACATTGTAAAACTGTTACGCAAAATGGATGATCTTTTGCCTAAATGAAAAATACAGTGAATTTCTTTGTCATATCCCTCCTTTCATTTACCACCATTCTCCTTTGACTTACATTCAGCCAACTGCTGGCAGCTCCAGTTGCATTGGCACACAGAGATGGTGTCTTGTTTAGCTCTTCACTAGCTTTCTCAAAATGACTGGTTCATTTGGGAGGTAGATCATCTGCTGGCACAGTGTTTATTAGTATGCAAGCAGAATTTGATGAAAAAGTATAACAGATAGAACATCTCATCTTGTGCCTGAATGGCACACAAACATTTGCAACAACAAAATATCAACATACAATAACAACAACAATAATAATAATAATAACATAAAAAAGTTTATATCTGCTTTATTCCAATCCTTGAAATGTTACTGCATGATAGCAGTATGCTGTAGATCAGGGGTATTGAATTCAAATTCAAGGAGGTCAGGTCACTAAAATTTTCTTCTGGCCAAAGTCTGAGTAGGGTGTGCCCATCAGGGTGCCCCCTTACATTAGGTGTTGCCATCAGAGTGCAAATTTACATCATGTATTCCCATCACATCAGGTGTGCCCATCAGAGTGCCCCTTTACATCATGTATCCCCATCACATTGCCACCTTACATCAGGTATTCCCGTCAGAGTCCCCCTTACACTCAACATACCCCTTTCTATCATATTTCCCCATCATAGTACCCCTTTACATCATATTCCCCATCAGAGTGCCCCTTTCCACAGTATGTGCCCATTTGTGCCCCCTTAACATAAAATGGGCCCGTCAGAGTGCCCCTTAACATAAAATGTGCTAATAAGAGTGCCCCTTCACATAAATGTGCCTGTCAGAGTTCCCCTTAACATAACATAAGGGGCATGCTGATGGGCACATTTTATGTTAAGGGACACTCTGATGGGCACATTTATATTAAGGGGCACTCTGATGAGCACATTAATATTAAGGGGCACTCTGATGAACACATTTATATTAAGGGGCACTCTGATGAACACATTTATATTAAGGGGCACTCTGATGGATACATTTTATGTTAAGGAACACTCTGATGGACACATTCTATGTTGTGCCTATCAAAGTGCACCTTAACATTAAATGTGCCCGTCTGATGTCTTCTACCTGAATGTCTAGCTCAGGCAGTATGAACTCTGCTATTTCCACAGTTAGTACAGTACTGTCCCAGAAAGTTCAAGCCTAGGATTTGTATGCTCAGGCTTAGGTGTCATCTTCACTTTGCCAAACAGAATCCCAACATTATTGTGAGAATATGTTACCTTAAGGTAAGCAACAGCTGCTATGGCCTCAGTGGATGTATCTGACAAAATGTGAATCTTCTTTTTAGTATGTGAATCCCATCTAAAGACTGGCCATGACTGACTCTTCTCTACAGTGAGGGGCAGGGGCGGACTGACAACTCATGGGGCCCCCGGGCAATAGGGGATCATCCAAACTCAAAAAAGCCTATGAGAAAGGTACCAGGGGCATCTCATGAGGCCCCTTACTGACCCCGGGCCCTCGGGCAGTGCCCGAGTTTCCAAATGGTCAGCCCACCCCTGTTGAGGGGTGTGTTGAGTACAGCGCTACAGCATTTAGCTCATAGTGTGTGAGGAGATCGCTGATTATCGACTGCTGTGTTATTGGCCTGTGTTTTTTAGTATGACACCACCAAACAACTCCAACGTCAGGCAAGTGCAGACTACCATTCCTAATCTACATGGTGCCACCGGCAAGCAGCCCCCTATAGCTACCCAGATGCAGACACGGAGCCCTCAACCCTCTATGGCTTCAAGAGCAACCACTACAATGGGTTCTTGCACTGATCCAGACCCGAAATTTATGATTTCCCCGTAATCGGGGACAGAGGCAGGGATAGAAGAATCACTGGAGGCGAGAAGGGACAGAGGGGATAGTATGCATGCCCTTCTCACTGCATTTAGGGCTGATTTTGATTCTTGGGTGGCTAAGTTAGAGGCAGCTTTACAAGTAGAGGTGGAGGAGCTGCAACAAAGTAGAGCAAACAGAGATATCACTTGCAGGGCTTTCTCAATCCTCCTCTCATCATGAACAGCATCTGAAGGCTCTTGAGCATTCTAATGCTCACCATCTATAACGCCAACATCAGTTACGCATGTTAAACAGCAAAAATAGGTGTATGGCCTTCCTACTAATTAACACCTCTTGAAAACCTAATCACAAACATAAGTGTTCATGAATATTCAGAAAAATATATTATCATTAACTCAAAAAAAGAGTCCCATATACAAGAAACATATCCGAATAAAGTCCCATATATAATAGGATCTATCTTGATGCGCTTTCAGTCTTTCACCACTTCACAAACCATAAATCAGTGTTCCTCTACCAACACCCAAATTGTGCTCTCACCTGGAGCTTTTTGACCTCACATTATATAATGCTTTGATCACGAAGCGCTTGTGTCCTTTCAGTGGGACTGATGGAATGAAGGTGATTCTCCTGTAGCAAACTTAGGATCTTGTATCTCCTTCATGAACTGGGCTGGGTTGGGCTGGGCTGAGCTGCAGAGGTCTCCTTCCTTCCTTCCCTTAGTGCTGCTGGCGAATACTGTACACTGATGAGTGTGTGAAATGTGTAAGCGACTTCAATTGGAGTGTTGACTTTTTCATTATATTATAATTTTTGGTTGCTCGCAGGATTATTAAACTTATTAAAGAATAGTTGAAGGTATAACAATATACTCTTTTGGGGGATAGCGGAGGCAACGCAAGGTTCGGATCTAAGGCAGACAGTAATGGCTATTCCCAATATTGTGCTGGATAGAGACCTTTCCACTGACATTGAACTAGATTGAGTACATCAAATATCTGGTTTGCATTGGGGTCCCAAAGATCCCCCTAGGGATGTGATTTGCAGAGTACATCATTATCTCTTGAAATCATGTGTAAAGCTTGGGGTGTTGGATCTATAAATTATAGAGGGTTCACTATACATTTAATCCTAAACCTATCATAATTAACTTTATACATGAGGACGGTTAGACCTCTTTTAGAGGTAACACATCAAGCCAGTGTTACCTATGATTGAGGTCACCCAATAAGTGTACAGATCAAGAAGGGCTCGGAGCAATTTATACTATCATCACCAGATCAACTTCCAGATGCTTTTGCCTTCTTAGGTGCAGAGCCAGACCCATTATCAATTGGTTAGATACTCCTGATAATAAAGGAACACCATTTGGCACATCTCGTATACCACATCCATTATTGTATAGTCATCAGTGATGGCTATCTGGGATACGGTGTTGATCAGTGAGGATGGTTGCTCTTATATGTGCTCCACTAAGTCTTGAGGACTTAAATTGTTAGTATTAAAGACCAAAATTATTTAGGTTTTTTTAGTAGGTCCTATGGACAATGTTATCATCCGGCTGGGTGTTCTCAGGACTGGAAATGAGCCACTTAAGAAATGTGAATCTTAGCAACCTATTTAAGATTGGAAATTAAATGGAACATTTAGATTTGTACCTATTGAGTGCTATTATTCATTGAGTTGTAGACTTGGTATTTTATTGTAGTTTTTGTTGATCTATAGAATACAGAGTCTCTCTTTTTTTTCTTTTCTTCCCTTTATCCTTGTTAATAAATTGTTCCTGGGTGCCCCTACTGTTATATGGGCACAAGGGGAGGTTTGGTGTGTAAGGTGTAGCACCCTCTAGCTAGCCAGCGGGAGCTAGTTTTTTTCTTTAGTGAGAAAGTCTGAATGGCAGCCTGGGCATGAGTCAGCCTGGGTGTAAGTCAGCCAGGTCAAATTAGGTCAGGGCTGAGGGCTCTGCAGATCAGTTCCCTGATACCTCTCCCTGATTTAGAGACTTGGAGAAGTCTCTAGAACTCACTGGGTGGGGGTGAGGAAAGTTTATAGTTTTTATTGTCCACTCAGCCGCCACCTCTATATTTTGTGTACTGTTCATTAATGATTATGTTTATTCTTTGAACTGCTTTGATTTTTTTTTTATAAAAAATTATATTAAATTATTATTATATGGGGGATATATCATGCACTACATGATATCCATCCAGTTCCAAATAATTATAGCTAGAGTCATGGCTGTATTTTGCCTATCTCCGTCTCTATCTACTCCCCCTATGTAGGCTTAGTACTGCCCGTGTTTTTAGGGTGATGCTTTGGCATCTGAAGACACCTCCTCACTTTAAGTGAGGATTAGCAGAGTATGTGTAGGTGTTTTTCTTGTATTTTGTTTTTTTTTTCTTTTTTTCCTGTTTGTTATTTTCTGTCTTCAACTGCTCTCTGCCCCGTCTCATTTATCATGGCTGCCACAAAAAGCAGCTTGATGGATATCAAGTTCTGCCCTAATAACATTAAGGGCTTTAAGGCCCCCTCCAAGCGGGGCAGGTTTTGTATTTTCTTCACAAAACAAAATTACAAATTATATTATTCCAAGAGATCCATTTCCAGGTAGACCGTGTACCCATATTTCATAACAGGTACTACTCTCGTTGGTTCCATAGCAGACCAGAGGGTAAGTCTAAGGGGGTTTCTATTGCTATTCACAAGAATCTACCAATGTCTTTATAGTCCAGAGGGTTGACCTCACAGGTAGATATTTATTTTTGAACATTTCTATTTTGGGAAAATTATTTACTACTTCCAATTTCTACCTATCAAACTCCAATCATATTAAAGTTGCCCTCCAGTTCCTGGCAGTTTGGGCTGCTTTTGCTGAGGAAGGAATTATTTGGGGGGGGGGGGGACTTTAATCTTAATTTAGACCCTTTATTAGACTCCTCTACAGACTGATCATCAATTTTTTGCTGTCAGTTGAAGTCCCTTAAAAAAGAAGCTTTATAGTCTTTGCTTAGTGGATGTTTGTCAGATCTTCCATCCATACTCTATTAATTATGCTTTCTTTTCCCCTGTTTGTCAAACATATAGCAGGTTGGACTCATTTTTGTTAGCCATTCTATGATTAATTGGTCACCAGGGTGCGACATTGAGGCAATGGTATTTTTATATATTACAAAATATATGAAAGATATTTTTAAAAATATATTTTTTTAAATATATTCTTCAGATATTTTTAACATATAAAAAAGTAATTTTTACAAATATGTGTAAATGCATTCCAAAAATGCAGATTTGTATTTTTAAAGACATACAGTATATTTGAAAATGTATTTTTCTAAATATTTTTCATATATTTTGTAATAAAAACACATTTCAACATACAGTATATATATATATATATATATATATATATATATATATATATATTTAATATGGCCAAAATTGTAGTATTTCAAATATATGTCAATATATTTGGGAAGAATATTTTTAAAATATATTTCAAATGTATTTTTCTTCCATATGGGAAAATTCCAGGAAGAGATCATCACAGCCCTTTTGTATCCAGAAAGTACTGTGGCCCAAACCCCTAGATGCAGTTAGTCGGCTGCATGAGAGGCATTTTCCTGATGCCATTCCTGGTACCGCAACCCAAAGGACACCCCAAAAAATATGTTATGTCTGTAGCAGACATGGAATTAGGTGTGACACCCGCTTTTTTTGTCCCTCCTGTCCTGGCCAACCTGGTCTCTGCCTCAAGGACTGCTTCCATTGCTACCACACACTAGTGGAGTATTAGTAGAGGGTACAGCACGGCACAGTTTTGGGCACATATTTGCACAGGGTCTCGAAAGATTTTAGGTAGTCAGGAAACTGGCTATCACATTTTGAGAGACCTTACAGTCTGGTTAAGTTAAAAAGAAGGAAAAAACCCATAAAAATAAAAAGTACAAGTACTTTTACTGTTTTATTGTATTGTAAGTCAGTGTGTGCAGCGCTGTTGGATGAGATTTTTCACCTGCAGTTAAAAAAAGAGCATATATGCCGAAGCATGGGGGCCTGGGGTGGCCAGTGGGTGTAAGGCCCCTATGTATCGGCATATATATTTTTTTAGTGTTTTTGGACACATATTTCAATAAAAAATTTGTTTTATTGAGTTACTGTTTTATTGTTAACCTCTGCTTTTTTCTTTGCAGGAATTGCATTCAGCTGCAGCACCGACTTGTTTATTCTGACAGCAAGAGGGTCTTGCTCTCAAAATATACATAAGTAGGTATGTGCAGCACTGTTGGATGATATTTTTCATCTGGAGGTATAAAAAGAGCATATATGTTGAAGGATGTGGGGCCTGGGTTGGCCAGTGGGTGGATGGCCCCTACGCTTCGGTATATATTTAAAAAAAAAAATTTTGTGGGACAGAGATTTCTTCATCCACATCGACCGATGTGAATAGAGGAATCTGTTGGGATCTTTTTATTCGTTCAGCTCATGGGCTGAACGACAAAAAAAGAACATTTCATGTGTGCCCACCGTTAGAAGTAGGTGGATGCAGGGCGGTATATATTCTAATGGTGGGCATACTACACACTATTTCTGGCAGAGATTTGATTGAATACCGGAATGGTGTCAATCA